TTAGACAGGCACCTCTGCTTTCACAAAAGTATTGCTACTACAGTCATCTATTCCTACATCCAACAGCCAGTCTTCTGCCTTGCCCACTAAAATCAAACCCCAGCAAGATAACATAAACCACAGCAGAATCCCCCGCCAACCTCATGCAGCACACAGCAAATCTGGCCTTCAGTAGCTGCTGCCGCCGCTGCTCTTTCCCCTCTTTTTTCCTTGGACACGATAGAGAAGGCAGCAGCCAGCATTAGGGCAAGGCAGAGCCAAGCTCCGTTGCACTTGATAATCCGGAGTGTGTTGGCACCAGTTTGCCAGTGCCACAGACAGGCTTTCTCAAGTAATTGCATTTATTCAACTACACAGCAAGCAGAGGCGTTCAGTGCTGTAATGCAGCTCACGGTTGCCAGCTATTAAGGGAGGTCTTAAGAGCCTGCAGAAAGCCTCATCAGGCACTACGCATCGGGAAATAGGCAGAAATCTATTCCAATTAATGGTTCACAAATAGGTCTTGGGTAGTGGCTTTTTGTTCTTAATTTCCCTGGGTGTCCTCTGAGCACAGGGATTTACAGAAAATAGTAAGGTGGGAAAGAAAATGACTGCATCAGCACACTATACAACAAAGTATCACCTAACGGTAGTAACATGCAGCATGACAGGGAGCTTAGTAAAGTAATGATAATTGTAGTTTGGCTATAGCCAAAACCAGTCCCGCTCCTGCTCACAAAAGACCGAGGCTGCTACTTCCATAACACCGTGAAACTGTTTGAACTCAGGGCATGTTAAGAAGGATTGCGGGGGAAGGAGGAATTAACAGCATGAGAGTAAATTTAGTTCACAAGGGGAAAAAAAGCAGCTTTGAAGAACAGATTTCTTTCAGATTCTTAATACGCAACCTCAAAGCACAGGTCTTCAGTGAATCCATCCTTCCACCCTGTGGGTGGGAATGAACACACTCTTTATATTCCTCAGAAAATGTTAATCTCACAAAAAAATCATTGTATTATAGCAACTTTGAGCACTGGAAACACTGGAATTCAAACCCTGAAGACAGTGCGTGAACTGTATTCTTGGACTCAAAGATACAGCAAGTATGTCAAGACACAGTTTTATGTTTTCAGCATTCTTACATAAGAACTCCCCCACCCCATGAAAGCTTCCTTCCAAAAAAATCTGAATTTCCGAGCACCATATCCGAGTTCTGTAACATTACAGAGAGTCAGCTCTTGGGAAGGAGTGCTTCGCTGTTTTCTGCGAACAAGCTTCTGACTTAACAGCCATCTCACTAAGTGCTAATTGCAACACAGGACTCATTAATGGACAAACACCCCTACTTATGTTGGCAGGTGGTGAATCCCTGTGTTGTGGAAGAGGAACACAAAAAGAGAGTACTGAAGACAGCGTCCAGTTTTTCAACAGTCTGCAGGTCAGGGTTTGATAGTAAAAAGCTTTAAGGAGGAAGGAAAGGAGAACAACGTTAAGTGGTGAGGATGACTAAACTCCCAGGAAGGATGGGAGAGCTGTGGTGAAGGGCCCCATGGTTGAGGTTCCTGAAGGACTGCATGGTCCGTGGCTCCCGCTGAAGGAACAGCACATGCGGACACTTCGTAAGAAGCAGCAACGCTGATATTTCAGTTTTGCATTTCCAGTTCCTACTCTCACAGTTAACTGACCTGCCAACCCACACACCATCTGTTGCTATCCCTCTTAGGCCAATCTCTTACAAATCAGGTCTCACTTTTCCCCTAGTAGAAATAGCAGCTTTGTATATGTTTTATAATTAGTCAGCTTCAATGAGCCACATTCTGGGAAAACATGAAGACAGGGCTGTATCTGGGGGGCTGGGAGGATCTAGAAAGTTGTGTCACCTTCACAGTAGGGGTTGTCCTCTCCCTTTACACATTTCACATCTGGTGGTTTGATCCCACTGCTGCAAGGGAATGGATCTCCAGCAGACAGAAGTCTGTAAGAGTTACCACAGTTTAGACTCATTTCAGAATTTGGCTATGACTTTTTGCTAAGTCCCAATCGATGTTGACTTCCTTTGCCTTTGACGTTCTTATGTCTCAATGGAACCAGTATGACATTAGCTGCAACTGAAGGGACCTCGCCTGCTTTGTCTCCAGACCTGCAGCCATGGAACTGACCCAACCTCCAGCATAGCGTTTAAGCCAGACAGGGAATCAACCCAAGTAGTTGGCGTACTTCTAAGATGGCATCTCCCTTGTCGAGAGAGATCTCTTTGGCAGGTACCTCATCAAAACGTTTACATCACCCAAGTCTATTTTACAGTACAACAAATTAACACATTCTGCCTTTTATGACTTAAAAAAAATAAAAATTAAAAGCTGTCAAAATAAAATTATTGATCTTCACCCCTAAAAAAGTCCTCCTGCTAGACCTGCACTTCCCAGTTCCTTTCTGCTTAAACCACTAAGATCATCAAAACCCCTCATATCGCCTACAATGCACATCTTCATAATAAATGGCTTCACACTAGACTTTCATGACAGCTCCTTAGCACTTTCTCACATAGCAAAAGGTGACAACCAGCTAAAATGAACCACAGAATTACAGAGAAAAGACTGAGGTACTAAGAATACTACGATATAATTGACTAATCATATACAGCGGGTAGCTTTTTCTTCTGCAAATTTGAATCAAACACAAAATACATGAAACACTCGGGGCCCTACCATCATCCCAAGCTATTCTTGCACAGGGTACAAAAAATTTATTTAGGTGCCCGAGGCGCCAGAAGGTGCCTAGGTGCTCCTGGGCACACTGAAACCATGTGTTTGTCCGATGGCTACCTCAGTTCCTTTCCCTCCTTGAAAGGGTCTACTTTGCTACATGTGCTTACACCATGAGAAGCATTTGTGGTGATGAATTGAAAAAATACCATCAGTATCTACAGAGAGTCCTGATCATGAAGACAGAGTCCTGATCACTAAGGATGTTCACCATTCCCCATGCTGCCTCTAGTTTCCCAGTCATTGGATATAATGGTGAGACAATCCAGGAGCAGCATTCCCTGACTCTGCCTTTCCGAAAGTTTTCCCTAAACAAGCTTTAGTGCCCAAGTGCAAAAAAAAAAAAAACTTTTTCAGGCTCCGAGTCCTCATTTCCCAGAAATAACTGTCTGAGCTCCTGCCAGGAGACAGCATCTTAGACATATTCCCCTCGCTGGCATTTCCTATTAGCTTAGGCACCACAGCGTGTGACACGCTGTCTGTAGTGAATCCCAGACACGGCCCTCCTTCTGCAAGCTGATTCAGCTCACTAATGTGACAGAAAATAAGCCTACCAAAGGAAAAAAAAAAAAAAAAAAGAATAGTTTCCTACTAAGATACTTAGATCTACTTGGCACAAGGTCAAACCAAGTACAGGAGAGGAGAAGGGGCTACATGGCAATGGACAGGAGGACAAC